TATATATATTTATATATATATTTGAGAGGTGGTCTAGATACATAAGCAATGGTTCTCTACAGATGGCAAAGTCATTAATAAAATATTTTGCTATAAAAAATTGTTACTATCTAATTGGCAGACTTAAGTATGGAAGACTTATAATCCTGAAATGGCCCAAATGAAAAAGAAAAAAGTATTATCTCCTCCTTTGTAGTTATTGTGCCATATGCAACATGAATACGTAAATCTTTTAAGGAAGTTTAGGGAATACCAAGTCCTTACAAGAAGTATTCAGCTATCATGCATATTTGCAAATTGATATAATAATCCACTTCCGGTAATTATAAAATGTAAAATGAGAATGCTTTTTGTCATCATTGATGCAAACCTGTATACTATGCATGAATATGAAAATAATCTTTTAATACTAGTCTCATGCGTATATTAGCTACATAATATCTATCTCTCATAATAAAAGCACTTCTATTTTCATAATATCATTGAAAGTGCTGAATTATTACAAAATCATTTTAGGTCTATTCTATGATATAATTTCCATCAAACAATGATGATGATGCTTAGGCAAATGTAATAAACAACTAATAGCCATACCTGTGTCCTTCCTGAAAAAGTGAGAATTCCACCTCTGTTGGTTCTAGCACTGTAATAAGGGTGGGAGTCAAAGCCCGTCGATCAGCTATTGAAGGCAAAGTTCCAGTCACACGTACTTCAGACCAATTACTATGAACTTTGCAAATATCAATACAGTCAAAATATCTGTAAGGAAGACCATATCATCCAATTATAATTAAATTGTGAATGATCCACTGTTTAACAGCATTGCTTTTTTTGTATTTTCAACAATTTAGGGACTACATAAGTAAAAGATCAATGAAAAGGATGTGGTGAAATTTTTACATATAATTTTTGCTGGGCATTTCTGAAAAATGTATTCTATACAGAATAAACAACAGAAATCATTAATAAACTAATTTAACTTCCAAATGTAGATGGAAATATAATGAACGTAAGAGGTGCAACCTGCAAAATTAAAAACTGCTTGTGCCATCTATCTACATCACTGCAAATTAACTAATCTGAAAAGTTACTCATGTAATAACAGTTTGGTAGACATCAATACTAACATACAATATTCTCTAATCATCTTATAACTATGCTTTCTGTTAATCAAAATAAGACCATAGGTTTGCAGCATGAACCTCAAAAAACTTTTGAAAGCTATTCTGGGATATGATTGATAATTAGCAATCACCAAAAATTCTTCCATACCTAAAGATGAAGTACTTAGCTTAAACCTAAAAATATGGCAATATCATATGCTGATAATTAACATTTTCTAGCATTAACCTGCTTTTCAACAAACTGTCATGAATTTGAAAATGTCTAAAATTGTCACTGAAAACTCTATAGCAAAATTTTAATAAACTGAAGAAATAAAGTTGAAGTGGATATGTTTAGCTGTATATAGGAAATAGCATACAGTAACAAAAAGACCCCAAAACCTCCACCTACACTTACTTTAACACATCTTGAAACGATATCCAAAATACTCCATCATCAGCCCCATGCGGCATCAGCTTCTCCCTCAGCTCTTGCGTCCAGACACTTGAGTCATCACACCAGTCCCGTCCCTCTCCAAGAGTAGTGGCCCCAAGGATTACGCAGCTGTAGCAGCCTAAAGCCTCCTACATCTTGTACATCAAGAACAGAGTAAGCATGTCTGAAAAGTCATCAACAAATAATTAGGATGACTTCCATGTCACTCCTTCACTCTTTTCAGTGTGAGTCTGTATGCGTGTGTGTGTGGGGGGGATATGTAGATATATAAATCAATAAATATCTACAGATAAAGAAAGATAAGTAGAGTGATATTTCCATTCAAATCTACTTATAACTTCCCTACTACTCAAGACTATCTACTTTCCAAAAAAATAACCTGTGGGAATTGCCCACCCTTGTAAACATTTTAAGATTCATCAGTCTCAATGCAATTTAGCAAATCAGTGGCATCTCTATATACTAATATGAAGTGTAATTTACTCTAACTTAAGGCAAAATAATAGAACAATAGAACCAAGCAGCATCTCAAAAGGCATTCAGTTATTTTTATTACTGTACCTAGCAACAAGAGCATATAAAGTAATAATGCATCTACTAAATCACCTTTCCATTGTTTACATGCAGACTAAAATCAGATTATAAAGCAAATAATGTTCTCTATTAGATACAATGAGTAGTAGACTTGTAACTTTTTCATGCTCCAAATCAAACAACAGCAATTGAAACAAGATAAGGAGAGTTTCTCAAGGAATACAAGCCTCTCTAATGCAGCAGGATAAGGTACACAAAGTTACCTGGTCTCTTTAACCCCTAAAGGCTGCGCTGCCTAAATCAAGCATCTCTATACCCTCCAGTTCATCATACCAAGACACCCACCATCCTTTGCCCTTGCCTTATTCTGTGGACCTCTTCCCCAACTTTCCTAAAGTCACCACCAGCCTTGGTTGAGCTACTGGCGATGTAATTTTGCTTCTAAATATATATATAAATTACCATGTACATTCATTTTATTCCATAATACGCATTTTTATTACGTGTTTTAGTGTTCCAATTTGCTCTCATCTGTAAAAAGTATCTTTTCTACTTTGTTGCTCCACTATTTCATATACCAGCACAAGACATGTACTGGCCTGCAAAACTGAGCTTTTCAAAAAAGTGAGATCACACTTATCCACAGTAAAAGTTTAAAATCTGAGTTGATTTGCAGCTGAAGGACAAGAATCACAGCCTTTAGGGGTTAAAAATAACTCTATGCATCTTGAAAAAATATATATAAATAAGTACCATCATTACTAAACATCATTTTACTGTTTAAGACTACCAAAAGAGGAAGAGAAAAGACAAGCAAAGCTTTCTCCAACCTGGGTCTCAGTCCTTGTGCTTTATATTCCTCATCTACCACCTTCATGTTTCCGCCACCACATGAAGCACCCATTAAAAATCCTGCTGATCGTGAACTTAGAAGCTGGGCCCAGATTAGGTCTTCATCTATATCATCTTCATGAGGTGATGATGAGGCCTAAACAGTGAAATACAATGAAAGAGAATTTTTTCAACAACATGCAAATTCAGGCACATATCAACATTTTCAAATGAATGTAAATATCCTGTATTTAAACCGTATTAAGCTGTAACCTTTGAAATTAAGAATAAAATTATTTTTCTCTCTTTGACTACTTTCATCATACATTCTTACAGAAAAAGATAATTATCTTAACAATAAATCAGAATAATCTTTAACTTTTTGGGTTGGAATATTGAAGAGAAAAATCAAGTTACTAAGCATCATATTGACCTCTATCTTGATATCAAAACATAATGTACATCTTGGGACTTCTCTGTATCTATGCATTCAATGCTATTACATCTACTAACTACTTGTATATTTGTATATAAAAGTTACAGCTATAGCTTCACCTATATTCATAAATGTAAATACATTATATAATATATATACAATGTAAATATATATATATATATATGTATATAATTATATATATATATATATTATATATATATATTATAATATGTATATACATATATTATATATATATGTATACACATATATAACACACGTGCATATATATATGTATATATGTAGATATATATATATATTATATATATATATATATATATATATATATATATATGTATATATATATACACATATATACATACACACACACACACATATATATATATATATATATTATATATATATATATATATATATATATATATATAATGTATATATATATACACATATATACATACACACACACACACATATATATATATATATATATAATATATATATATATATATATATATATATATATTACACATATATATATATACACATATATTATATATACATCATATATATATATATACCATATATATATATACACATATATATACA